CCCATGGGGTCAATTAATCAATATTCAGACTTAAGGTCGCCTTTAAAATAATTCCTATAATAGTGATTTTAAAAAACGGTACTTTGTCATATATTATCTCAAAATGTAGTCTGAACATGTGGGAAACATTGCAGAAGAACATGGATCATTTGAAATGTAAGAAAACCATTTTGAGGGACATTGCACTATAGCCTACACTACCTGAAAACCCATTCATTTCAATGTAATTGAATATTCATGTTTGGACATACAAAATTACCATTATTGTTACAATTTGACATCAGTCCTTATTAAACAATGCTTACCTATCTATAAAAGCCATTGAATCAGACCTAAAGTAATTTTTGTAATATTGTGTAAATGAGTAAACATGCTATGCAAATTGCCATTCTAATAGGGCATTGCTAGTATGACCCTCTTGAGCTATGTTATTTCCCAAATGAACATCAAGTTGAAAAAATAAAAATACTATTGGAAGTTCTTATTTGAGTTGTTAGTAATAGGAATTTAAGGTGAAATCATTATTTCAACGTTTTTCAAAAAGAAACAGTTAAAGGGTAAAAACTTGTAGCCTAAACACATCGATGTTTTTTTTTTCTCCATGTGTTCCCATATCCCCATAAAGTAACCCAAATAAATGTTTATTTTCTCCCAAAAAATCGTTAAATCAAAAGATCAATTGTCTGTTGGCAAATCAGCGCAAAACAATGTCTGCATCATCAGTGACCATTTTTGGGAGAAAAATGCATACACTACCCTGTACCATTACATATCAGCATGTAGCCTTGCGGAGAATATTATTGGACGTAAATAGAATAATAAGGTCAACGTTAAGAGTAACTTTGAGCGTGAATGTTGCCCTTATTAATTTAGTTAACACTGTGAGGAACATATATGGGGAGCGGTGGACAGGCAGACATTGGCACGACATTCATATATGGGGAGCGGTGGACAGGCAGACATTGGCACGACATTCATCAAGTGGCACTACAGCGTTCCATCTCTTCTCCGGTTACACGCGTGACGCGTCAGTCCCTCCATGTACTGCCGGGGTCAACCAACATAGACTACTCACGCGTCAATCCCTCCATGTACTGCCGGGGTCAACCAACATAGACTACTCCACTCAGTGACCGGATACTAATGCAAACCCTGCCTGCAGCCTGGCAACTCCGCTAATAACTTCAGATCTAGACTCATATTCTCATCTGACAGATTTGAAGCCAAATTCAAGTGCGCATTAATTAAAAAACGATTTTCCCAATCGGAAAAAAAGTTATGATAATAAACAAAACGAACAATAATTTCCTTAAAACTTTATTTAGAACTTGAAATAATAACTCTTAACTTATTATGAAACATATTGGCTAATATTATTGGAGAAAGGAAATGGCAGTGTTGAACATGATGTAGTATCCGTTTGGTATAGGCCAATTACTGAAGAATAAAACGTTGATTTCCAATAACTTCTAAACTGAATATTTAACGCCTATGTAAAAATGTGATCATACTGTAATTTGAACAACATATGTGGAGCAACCTGTGTGTTGGAATAACATGTGTGTTAAAGCTATAAGGGAAATATATCTGTTTTCATGGGTCAAATATTTTCCTCTAGGTTTGAATATAATTCATAGAGTTGGAACGTGAAAGTGCGCATGCATTTCTATCATGGAAGGAAAGCATCATACACAGCTCGAGATTGGTTTACTGGCTACTAGCACAAGTAATAAATATTCGTAGACAAGCGAGGCGCTCTGAGGGCTGGCGCCTGCGCTCTTCAACCGTTTTAACTGCAACTCTGCTGTTTTCAGCTTGTAGCGACTGTTAACAAATGTCAGATACAGTGAACTGAACAAATGAAGTCAATGTGAACCAAACTGAAACGATAAGCTTTCCTTATTCTGTCTGTTTTGGGGTTCATAAGAGCCCATGCAGGCGGTGTTGGCTACACCGTCTGTCATTCAGACATCTTTATATGGAGACGGGAAGGTTTCCATGTCAGCTATTTTTGTAAATGGAGAATCTCAAATATGGATTTGACCAGAGATATGTATTTCGTTTACATTCCAAAATGTAATACAAATGTTATTAAATGAGTCATAAACACACAAAAAAAAAAAAACATAAATAATGTAATTGACATTTTACATAAAACAGACACATTGTCATTTGGTATTACAGAATAAAAGTAAACAAATAACATTTGAAATAACAGGAAAAAAAGGGGGACATTTTAAAAAGTAATTAAAGGCCTATTGTGTTCGTTTTGTTGTTAGGTTACCACGATGACGCACATTGTGTGATTGTCAAGGCACCTCCAGCATTGTTGCTAGTCGGAGGGTTAACCCTAAACCTACACAAACAACTTGAACTTGAGTAGCCTAAGGGAATCTCTGAATAGACATGTTTCTGTACTGTCTGTATGTGTAGCAATGATATGTGTACATGGGAGAACATGGTTGTCTCACAGTCCTGTAAGACACTGCATTTGAATTCGGCCTCGCCGTGTTCTGCGTGTGTTGCTTCTTCAAGCCAGTTGTGCGATATTTTAAGCTACGTTATGATCCGGTAACATCTGATAATATTACAAAGTTACATTTTTTAGGCCTACATATTTTATCTCCATTTTTTCTTAGGACATATAAGACCGGAGTCGATATTGATTTCTATCTCTGCCTTCTACCTTTGTCAGAAAACGCATGAAACGATAAGGACAAGTCTTTTCAAACACAATTAATCCCATTGTATGAATCAAAACACATGTTTGGATATACGCAACATTTCTATTGGGTCTAACGGTGCATGAATGGAAACGTATCAACACTATAACCTAGATAGATAGTGTTAAATAGAGTCGAAAAAGTCATTCTAGTACCATCATTCATTTATCTCTAAAATTAATAGCCCATGCAAAGAAAATATGAATACATTTCCAACAAATCACCTCAGATATCATGCAATTCCACCATTACAATCACACACGCGCACACACACACACACACACACACATACACACACACACACACACACACACACACTCTGTGGACTGTGACTGATGATTGATCATCATGCGAGGCTACATTGTGTACAGTCTATTTAGCTTCGGCTTTTATTTTAGAATTGTTTCATTTTTCCTCCGTTCCAATGTGTCATGTTGTCAGCTGCAGACTGACGGATCTACGGAACATTGTATTCCGTGTCGCCTTGCCCAGCGTACTGGCAGTGTTAACCACGCAGGCCAGGCTGGTGATCACTGGCGTCTGTCTGTTGACGTGAACCCTGCCTAATGGTCCGGTCAACCAGGCTGCACCACGGAACAAAGACTACAACACTGACTCTAAAAGTCCCAACACTTCCTCAACACTAGACTATGGCATCCATCCGACACAGCTAGCTAGGGGAAACTGAATAACATCGAGAACAATTAAGGAACAACATAAACAATTTCGTTTACTCTGACTGAGAAGTAGAACTGTCACTATTCATCTTTTCGATTCTCATATTACTCGAGGGCAAGGGCTGGGATGTTACTTTTGGATAAAAGGGACACAGGGACAGGGGAAATCGAATTACTTAACATTGATTCGTATTACTGAATTGGATTCTGCAAGCCTAAAAAGGCAAGCATGATGTGATTTATAATTCTACGCTTTGATAAGCGTATAATGCAGCAGGGTTTTACCCTAATAAGTTGGTCCAAATATGTCCCTTTATTGATGTGATATGAAGTAGCCTGCGCCACATATTTGAGACATTATAAAACTTTAGGCCTGCTTTTAGTATTATAATGACTTATTTCTATACAATAACTCACATATAATGGTTTTCTAAAGACATATTCGTCTATTTAAGTGTTTGTTTTGTTATGTATGAGTATATACAAAGATAATCACGCATCATTCATTTTTGATATCCAGTCATAGGCCTATTTAAACAACATATAGGCTATGAGAAACAAAAATATGGAAAGGCAAATAGTTGGTTGTATTTTTAATCCTTTAATATAGTACGAAATGTAACCAAACATTTTTTGCAAACTAAATTGTACATACTAGCGCATTTCTCCATAAATACCGATCATTTCTAACATGTGTTACCCTTTACATGCGGATAAATATGGAAAATCGAGATATTTACATGTTGGTAATACTTATTTGACATTATCAAGGTAATGGACAAATAGTTGTTATATTTTATCACGAAGGCCTACATTAACAGACGACACGGAGTTTCAGGCTTTCACTATACACGATTTCTCGACATGACATTAAATAACAACAATGGTAAGTACTGGGCTACTCCAACTGGACCGTAGACGAAATGTTGCACCAAATACAAAAGCACATTAATAGACTAATAGTCGGTAAGGTCGACATAGTGGAGACGGTAGTTATACTTAGGAATTCACATTTGGTACACATCAACTACAACATTCTGTCCAATCAACACTATTCATCGCAATGTTATTGTTAAAACCATTTCATTTTCCATATATCTAGGGTCCACATTTGCACAAATTCCGTTAAACTGTGATATAATTATTTACAAAATAAAATATTACATTTTTTGAACTGGGAATCTTAATGTACAAAAAAAAAAAAATAATAATCCGGCCACGACCCGCAGATAGCATGCATTGAGACCTCTTTCAAAAATGAGGGAGGAAAGGAACGAAAAAAAAAAAACGTTAACTTGGTAGCTGGCTTTGCACCTTGTCCATGCATCGCTTTCTCTCTCTTTCTCTCTCTTTCTCTCTCTTTCTTTCTCTCTCTCTCTCTCTCTCTCTCTCTCTCTCTCTCTCTCTCTCTCTCTCTCTCTCTCTCTCTCTCTCTCTCTCTCTCTCTCTCTCACTCTCTCTCTCTTTCTCTTTCTCTTTCTCTTTAGCGGTTAACCAACCATTTTGGCTTCCTCGTTTTTTCTCTCGGTCCACGCGTTATAGGCTGACTTTCAAAAGTCTTTGATTCCAGTCCTATTTCTGCAGTCTTTGTGAAAATATTTTACACGTACCATTCATTAAAATTTGACGACAGCGTGGTGTGGTGACTGGTCGTGTGGTGCACTGTCGATGCTGCCGGCGATATGGAACTGGAACTCTGATTCTCCGCGGACGGGGACACGATGGTGGGCGGCGTGGACGACTCGTACCCGGAACTGGCCGCTGGCGACGGTTGAGGTCCTTGCGTGGTAGCCTCGTGAACCTGCGAGACAGAGCAAAAACTACATAAACAAAACTTGACATTTTACAGTGTGCCTATGTAAAAATGAATTGACTGCCATGCGTTCTAGAAATATGCAGGATTCCAGTTTGATTATCAACTGTTAGAATAAGAAATACTAATATTAATAATAGCCTAAATGTTCATGAGAAAACCACTATAAATGCTCATAAATTAAAATGCACATAAATTCAAATGTGTGAATCAATCTTTTGGATATGACAATGGAGAGGCGTTATGAAGACACACCAGGTATTTGCATTTACTGCATGGTGTCTCCCTGCTGTTTCCGTGTTCGTGCTTGCTGGAATGTAGGCTATGCTTTGGATTTTTATGCATGCACTTTAATTCTCGAAAGGGTATAGGAATTCAAAATATACATTATCAATAAAATTGAATATAAAAGGTCAAAGTAAACCCAATATTTACCTTCATGTGTTTCCGCAGAGAGCTGGGATGTGTGTAGGACTTGTCGCACATCTTGCAGAGATAGGGCTTGTCAGAAGTGTGGACGTGCATGTGTTTCTTCCGGTCGCTGCTGTTAGCAAACCGCCTGTCGCAGCCATCAAACTCACACTTGAAAGGCTTTTCACCTAAAAACAAAAGAAACATTTTACACAATGAGAATATAAATACTTACATATTCCCATTTAACATTAACTTTTCAGTGACGTGGGGGTATTTTGGCTACCACCACCACATTGAAAATGACAAAACATTACCTTCAGGTATATTACAGCATTCGTTGTTTTGTTTTTTAGGCTACGGATGTATGAAATTGCTGTAGGGCTATATATTCAGACCTTCATGTTTTGTTGTGATGGGCATGTTTACTTGTACCACTAAAACAATGCAACAGCATGTTGCATCGGTCCGAATAATACAAATAAAACCATTTCGTATTATAGTAAAACATTATATTTAAACAAACATAACCAAAACACTGAAGTTACAGCAGGCTAACACGTATTACGCAAATAGCTTTTGGAGCGGATATTATGTTCATGCTTTTGAGTCAAGAAAAGACATGTTACAATTCTTACCAGTGTGTGTCCTTTTGTGGATTTTTAGATTTTCCGATCTGGCAAATACTTTTCCACAGCCTGGGAAGGGACATGGGAATGGTTTCTCTCCGGTGTGTACTCTGATATGATTTACAAGTTTGTATTTGGCTTTGAACGGTTTTCCTTCTCTGACGCATTCTTCCCAGAAGCAGATATGGTTCGACTGCTCCGGTCCCCCCACATGCTCCACGGTCAGGTGGGTCACGAGCTCGTGCATCGTGCTGAAAGTTTTGTTGCAAGCCTTTTTGGGGTTCGACAACTGTTCGGGCTCGACCCACTTACAGATGAGCTCTTGTTTGATGGGCTGCCTCATGTATCGGAAGAAGGCCCCTGCCCCGTGGTGAGCCGCTATGTTCATGTTCATAGGGCCATAGCCATGCAGCTGGGTTGCGGCGTAGTGGTCGGAGCGGGGGCTCGTAACGTGGCCGTACTGGTCAGCCCGGCCGTACATGTCCCCGGTAAAGCCAAGGCGCATCTGGCTGTTGACGACATTAGACGACGCATGGCTGGCGGCTTGCTCGTGGAGTCCAGGGAAGAGCAGGTGCCCCGTGGCATCGGAGTGTCCATGTGGCCCTGCAAAACTTCCCGCTGCCGAGGCAAACAGGCTGTGCTGCGCGCTGGTTGCGTCTCCGAAGCCCCGGTTTCTGAAGAGAAAGTCCCGGGTGGAGTTGAATGCTGCGGTGGAGTAGGAGCTGACGTGTGTCGGGTGGTGGTGGTGACCAAGGGCGGCAGCAGCGTAGCCGGGAGCCTGGGAGGAGAACGCCGTCTGGCCGGAGCTCAGGTCGTGGGAGCTGTGGTTGATTTTAAAAGCTCCCATCCCGTCTGCGAACGGATTTATCCCCAAAGCCACTTCTCTTTCTGTGACTTCGCCTGTTGAGTGATGCCGTGAGGAGCCGAACGTAGTGACTCCTATGGTGGGGTACTGGGGTCCTGCGTCCAGCAGCATCTTCCGTCAGTCTACAACTCAATGAGGCAACTGAGAGCAGGAATTAAAAATCATGCACAGATATACTTCTGACCCCTATACCTCTCTCTCTCTCTCTTGCTTTACAAAAAAATATCTATCGGACTTTACTGAGCTGAGCAAACTCCAATCCACAGACTTTCTATTTACCTAAAACAAGAAAGGAATGTTCCGCTGCTCTTCCTCTCATCCCATCCACACGCAAATCATGGAGGCTACAATATTGTATTTTGCGGTTTCTCTTCCCGTGGCGAAACTTTCACCTCCCTAGTCAGGCGGTGAGCTGTAGACTGATAGGAGCGGTCATTCCTGCAGATAAATGAATTGAAAGACAACACAGTCCACCCCTGATGAATGGGGAGGGAAGGGTGGGGAGGGGTGGGAGGGGTGGGAGGGGTGGGGAGGGGGGGGGGGGGTTGGGGGAGGGGTGGGGTGGGGGGGGCAACATGTGACCGTGTACTCAGACACTCATTGGAGGACGCCCTATCCCCCTACCAACGTTCACCCACCAAATAACAATCCGCGTGCCGAGTCCCCTCTCCTATTGGTCCGTGTGCATCATCAATCCCAGGTATTGTGAGATTGCTGACTGTGGTTTTGGTTAAATGGCTGAATAACAGGAGAAAGAAAGTTGAGAAATATAAAAGCAACAATAGACGGTGTGAAAATGTAGACAGCGTTGACTATTCACTATACACTGCTAAAAGTCAAATGCGTGCATGTTCCTCCACAACTAATGCATAGCAACAGCCATACTCTCCATGCAGTATTAAAACACACTTTCTCTGAGCATTAAGTTGTGTGTAAATACTGATGATGAGCATGGCTATTCGGCTGGACGAGAAGTCAATGTGTCGCTGAATGTTGTTGCACAGTCTTTCTCTGACAGCACCGAGACTGGGGAGGCCAGTCTTTCTCTGTCAGCACCGAGACTGGGGAGGCCAGTCTTTCTCTGTCAGCACAGAGACTGGGGAGGCCAGTCTTTCTCTGTCAGCACCGAGACTGGGGAGGCCAGTCTTTCTCTGTCAGCACAGAGACTGGGGAGGCAGTACACTACAAACTCTTTGTTGTTGATCCGGGATTTTTCTATTTTCTTCATAGGACACAAGTTGAGGGCATGGCGGTGTCTTTGTTGATTTCCATGGCGATCTTTGGATTCAGTAAAATGTCCAGGGAGGAACAGAAAATAAGAATAATGTCCCCCTCTCCGTTCAAGTGAGTTAGAGAGCAGGGGGGATACACAACAATATATTACGTTTTACTAACGTTATGTGGGAATCCTACAACACGACCCAAACGTCAATGTGTGACAAGAAATGAAACAATAACATAAGGCCAAAATGAAATGAAAATATGACTAATAATAGACTAATATTAAATACCAATAATGTACCATGATACAGTAGTACCAGATACCAATAATGTACCATGATACAGTAGTACCAGATACCAATAATGTACCATGATACAATAGTACCAGATACCAATAATGTACCATGATACAGTAGTACCAGATACCAATAATGTACCATGATACAGTAGTACCAGATACCAATACTGTACCATGATACAGTAGTACCAGATACCAATAATGTACCATGATACAGTAGTACCAGATACCAATAATGTACCATGATACAGTAGTACCAGATACCAATAATGTACCATGATACAGTAGTACCAGATACCAATAATGTACCATGATACAGTAGTACCAGATACCAATAATGTACCATGATACAGTAGTACCAGATACCAATAATGTACCATGATACAGTAGTACCAGATACCAATAATGTACCATGATACAGTAGTACCAGATACCAATAATGTACCATGATACAGTAGTACCAGATACCAATAATGTACCATGATACAGTAGTACCAGATACCAATAATGTACCATGGTACAGTAGTACCAGATACCAATAATGTACCAGATACGGTAGGCTAGAGGTCTATCTCCACATAGCAATCCAATGTCATGTCAATGTTGAATAACACTGAAGTTACAATCCTAGGTACTTGTGTGCATACAGCACCTCTTTTATGAAGCTGTCGTCGAGGTTTGCACTTCATGTGTTGCTATTTACACGTCAGGTGTTCTTTGTGACCATGAAAACATATAGGGTCGTGTCTATAGTTGTCTGTGAACTGTATTCTGCAGCGCTCTCTCGCTCTCTCTCTCTCTCTCTCTCTCTCTCTCTCTCTCTATCTCTCATCTCTCTCTCTCTCTCTCTCTGTGTCTCTCTCTCTCTCTCTCCTCTCTCTCTCTCTCTCTCTCTCTCTCTCTCTGTCTCTCTTCTCTCTCTCTCTCTACTCTCTCTCTCTCTCTCTCTCTGTCTCTCTCTCTCTCTGTCTCTCTCGCGCTCTCTCCTCTCTCTCTCTCTCTCTCTCTCTCTCTCTCTCTCTCTCTCTCTCTCTCTCTCTCTCTCTCTCTCTCTCTCTGTCTCTCTACATTCCATGTTCCTTTTTGCAGCAGCCTCATAAAGTGAACATCTGCAGTCAGGACTCTCACATCACCATTCTCACATAAAGCACATGCTGACAAAAGTGTCCCAAAAAGCATACAAAAAGTTATCATCACAAAGACACATAATAATCCGTTATTTTAAATAATAATAATAATAATAATAATAATAATAATAATAATAATAATAATGATATCTCAAACACTACTGGTTGAAAACTGGTAATAGCCTGCATCACCCTAACCTGTAGGTAGAACGTTGTGAGTTGTCGAAGTTATGAAGTGGGACTTGTGGTGCTCGCTGCTGGAACCTCCGGCTGCTGGAGTTCAAAGCCACATGAACAGACGTGCCATACGAACCATTAAAATATCATCTTGACTGCTAGTTTCTGCTTCATACACTCCAGAGAGACAGACGTGAAGACAACAGAGTCTAGAGTTCTCAATCCTTTTCCGTGCAACTTTTAGTACGTTTTTAAGTAGACTACCACAACACACAGACAAAATCTGGAAGACGCTTCAACAGGTGGAAAACGGTCAGGATGGCACGTGTGTCGAAGTGACATTGAAAAGGAAGAAATAAATACTTCTAGGAGTTCCAAACACATAAAAGGTGTCGGGGAACCCTCAAATAAACCAACAAAAACCAAACATGGTTCATAGTTGAATCATGCATGTATATTTTGACTAATTTATCTGACTTCAGAAGTATTCAGTGATTGACGCATGCGTTGTTGACTGATTCTTCATTTGGATACGGCAATGGAGAAACTACATCAGGTTGACCAATGATATGGATTCCATTAGTGGAGGCCTCTAAGTAAGTTATGATCGATAGGACAGGCTACAGGGCATTGCTTTGATCTAAACATATAACATAATAGTGATATTAAGTCCATCATGCGGTGTCTAACAACTGATATAAATTGCGTTAAATAGGCCTTATTCTAAAATGCATTTGAGTTTGGATAGGCAATCTAATTCCAATTGGTGAAAGACATGTGCTTCGAGTTGTCTGTTACGAAATATATACAGACAGTGTATGTATATTGCCATTAAACAACAACAAAAAAAGGCTAAATAATTCAGCCTACTCATTACGCGTTTTGGGAATTGCTGGGATATGGTCTGATCTTGACCCTTATCTATTACCATTCTGTCTTGTTGTTTACAAGAGGGCTCATCTTGGACCAGAAATAACTGTTCAAAGTCTATATACATTACTGCAGCCTCTCTCTCTATAGACTACAGCGACCCTACACTAGGCACCGGGGTGGGCTCTCAAAAGACTACAGCGACCCTACACTAGGCACCGGGGTGGGCTCTCTATAGACTACAGCGACCCTACACTAGGCACCGGGGTGGGCTCTCTATAGACTACAGCGACCCTACACTAGGCACCGGGGTGGGGGAGGGGTGGGGGGGTATTCCTACCCGAGGTAAGTGAACGTAAATTTAAGGTAATTCACTTTTTATGCACTTTTCTCTCTACACGTATTCTGACCTTGAATTTAAGCACGATAATATATATTGCCATTGACCCGCTATTCCTTTAGGGGTGGAGATCACAGATATGAAGGTGTGGCGGAGCTGTGTCTACAGATACGCTGTATTCTGACCGTAACTCCCTCTTCATTTCACCGCCTTTACTTGCGTTGAAACAATGAATAAGGTCGATCAACCTGTCGGTTTTAAAGTGGAACAACATTTACTTTATTTTTTCCCGATGGAAATAACACCATTCTCCATGCACTGTAATTTACAGATCAGTGCTATTGATAAGAGCTATTGATAAGAGCTATTGATAAGAGCTAGATAAATGAGGAAGTCGTTTGGGGGGGGGGGATAGAAAAATATAAATGATAATTGTTTTAGATCTATTTTATCTTATAATCACTGGAGACAAACCAGTCATATGGCAGCAAACTGAAGCATATCAACATATCAGTTTTTTCACAGTAAAGTTTATGAAATGCTGACCTTGTAACTTGTAAGGATGAAATGTGGAGAACCAAGCTATGGGCTTCTGTAGCCCTGCGCAAATGACACTATAGCGCCAAACCTACCGAGTTGATTTATGATTTCTAGAATGTTTTAATTATATGCCCGGACTTTCACTTTATTTTTTTTACAATTTGTATCTCGTTAAATATTAGGCACTATCAGTAGCCACCGTCAGTTATACCCACATACATTTATAACTGTCACTTTACATTTTGCATCATTCCATTACAATCGTTAGTTTACCTTTCTTTCCTCTCACGTTCGTGTGGTGGTTCCTGAGGATCGCTAGCAATAGTGGATCATATTAGGCTAAAGTATTACAAGTTGTTAAAAAATGTGGGACATGTAGCCTATTTGAATGATTATGGAACTCAGACCATACGTAGCAGTTTAAACCTAGAGCTTGGCGTACGAGTCACGACGACTGGACAGTTTTCATCACAGTTCCATGATTAGTGAGGATTATTAGGGGGAGATTTAAAGGACTACTGGTCAATCCCTATTGGACACTTTTCTCACCTTCCAATATTTCATGGATTGAACAATTGAATATGGCAACTTTCAGGATGAATCAAACCATTGCATTTTTGATTCACCTATATATTTCGTGCATAAAGGCTCTCCAAAACAGTTTGATTTATTTATTATCAATAAATACGTTCCTAACCCTAAATAATATACATGATCAGATTATTTTTAAATCTAACAACTGGTGCTGAAAAGGATCCCTAATATTCTGAACCGTTCTCTCCATATATTCTAGTGAGTCTGTCGAGAAGGAACACCTAATTTAAAGGGATGGCTTAACATAAATGTACCGAAACCCTTATTGAATGAAAACTCCACGAGAAAATATGTTGTCCAGCAAGTGGGAGGTGTTTCAGCGTGTTGAATTAAATATATTCAGTGCGCGCAAGGGAACCACGCCTGCAAAGCCCGTTACGCACCTGCATAAGGTAAGTCTGAATTCCTACTAGGAAAGGCGTGCATAGGAAAGGTGTACATGTACTAAGTCTGAATCAGGCCCCTGGAGCAGGCCATTTCATAAACACAGCCAGGATCACATCATATCTACTTATTTATGACGTGCTTGACGTGGCGTTGTCAATACTGAATATGATTCTCAAGTCACATGCATTTTTTTTTGTTCAGGTAACTGATACACATGCAGGAAGGAGTGAGGAGTGGTACTCACATGGGTAGTTGGAGATGGTGTCTAGCATTTTCAACAGTGTGCAGTGTTTAGTACAAAAGTTGCCGATTCATTTCTTGCCTGCACGTTTTGAGACATCAAGAATAGTCTAAAATGAAATCGAGCCAAAACGTTGTTCTTAGACATTATAGTTGTAATGACCACGTTATTCAGATACTAAACTGAATATTTTATAATTTTTTACTGATAAACGAATTCATTCGACAATGAGAATGGACAGTATTTTTGTTCACTAACGCAATGAGCCTCGTGCATGGATGGACAATAACCCAATCTGGGTCACTGAAATAAATACCTATTGAGGCGATGGTCACAAAGTAGTAAAATATTGGCGTGACACACTGTCAAAATAAATTAAGGTTTTACTCATCGCTCCTGGAGACAACCACCCAATGATTGGCTTCGGTCACTTTATAATCCGACCAATAGTTAAACAGATATACATGTGATATTTGACATTAATCTAATGGTAACGTTTTGATCCCCCTTTGGGTCAATTCACAGAACAATTCATATTTGTCTCCGACTGATTTGATTAAGATAAAGGGCCCATGCAATTTAGATTGAGGTAAGAGTATTTAAGTAACTGTGGATTCATATGCATCAATTTGTGCATGCATGGATTTACCTATGAAACGCTGTAGTGGGGAGGACCCATGACAACCCTTTGATAAAGTTAGGTTACTAATATAAATAGTTCCATAACATAGGTGTAAGCAGCACGATAGGGGTTGATAGAAATGTTGATGATATATCACAGTCTTTATTATGTTTAGGCTTAATGACATGCACAATCACTACAGCATAGCAAAGAGCGCAGACCAGCGCGTGCACGTTGATTGTTTTAAAATATATATTTGTAGCTTTTTTTCTTCTAAATGAGCTCACACAAAATCACCAACTTTTACGCAAAATCAACTGTTAACTGACTTTAACGCATTACACATACATTTACATATTCGTCATTTAGCAGACGCTCTTATCCAGAGCGACTTACAAATGTATAGCCAGTGGGACAACCACTTTACAATATATATAACAACTTTTTTTTTTTTTTTTTTGGGGGGGGGGGGGTAGAAGGATTACTTTTATCCTATCCCAGGTATTCCTTACGCATGTGTTGACATACATTTCTACTTTAAAGTAAATAATATGTTGCATATATATTTAGTAGTATGTTTTCAGACATACATTCTTCAACCCACACGTTATAGTTTTTTTTTTGTGGGGGAGCAGCCTCCCTCCTTCCTAAAAAGGGGATGTAATATCATGGATCTTCACTCCAATTGGTTTAAAAAGAAATGTGTTACGAGTGGAGAGGGAAAACGTTATTAACAATGAACTACCATCGTCTAACATAATAATTTAAAAAAATGCTAAATACGTTTTGTGATTTCAGGTATAGTCTAACATTGGTGTGGTCACTGGGTTGTTGATTTGATAGCAGTGAATAATCGATAAGATTAACTTTTATGTTTTCGACAGCCGTTTCTTTCACCAGTAGACTGCCCTCTACCTCTCAGAGTATCATTGTAAAGTATAACTCATATTTTAGCAAGTCTTATTTTGGGCTTAAATCTCTGCTTCTCTTGCCCCGTTCTGTGCCGTTGATCAGGCGCCACCTCCCGTTCCCCTGATCCGCTCCCGTTCAGGGTCTCAATCCGACATGGCTCGTGGACGAAATTACCCCGGATCATAACAACAGGTCGGTTCCATTACTTTCCCCCGGGACAATAGACGGTGTCGCCCCTATTCACTAATACACAGAAACCGATCTCGCGACGAAGAGGAGGAAGCGCAGCTAGCGAGGAGGGGTGTTGCGGTGCGGAGGACGTGTAAAATATCTTTCTTTATCTTACCGTATCTTTTATTGGCCTTTGAGTGATGCGTAAAAACTCCCCACCGCGGAAAATTGCTTTTGAGAAAAGGACTAGTCTATGTTTGACAAGATTTTCAGTACTTTGATGCCCACATTTTCTGACTGTGCGTAAGGCTACATTTTATGAATTTCAATGACTTTGTCTTTTCGTAAGTTATGAAGATTTATTTCTCTATTGAATATTAGCGATAGCCTACAACTTTTTTAGAGGGGCAACTTTGCATATATGCCTACTTTCTCTGTCTATTTTAGGTGTTGTTTACATAACAAAACGTGGGTATATTGCTCTTCCATAACTCTTAATAACTCGGTAGAATAATATGACAGCAATACCTTTGGTCTAGGCCAAACGGCTTAACTTTTGGAGTTTAAAGTGCAATAACCTTTGCAATACAACTACATATTTCTCTTCCGAGTGTTGCCTGAGGCTCGGCGCAGGCGCTCTGGCTGCTTGCTGTCACTAAAACAATTTTCTTCACATTGGAAACTGTCACAAGTGACGTCAATCACGGGGCTCTGACCAATTAGAAGGCGGGGTGATTGTTTAGCTCCACGGGCTTCAGCGCCTACCATGAATCTCTATTCACAATCAAAGCCTCCTGCTGCTGCCGACCAACCGAATGCGATTCCATGCAGCCACTGACATAGAATCATAACTTTATATCGTTTTTTTCTATATTTTAGTTTTTTTTCTATATTTTTCATTGCGATTAAAATATATTTGTCATCATCATTATTATTTTGCCTGCTGTCAAGTTATTCTAGAATTACGAGTAATGAGCATGGATGCTTTGGGAAACCATGTGATGGTCCCTAGGATTTCCAAACGGAACACGGCGCTGAGATTAGTTGACTTGGCAGGGGCGCACCACCATCACCATCATCACCACCATACCCCTCAGAGCGTGACAGGCTTCCCGGGGTTCAGCAGCCATCCACACTCAATGGCTCACTCGCACCCTGGGGAGATTACTGCGGAACCCCGCCTGGGGCCGAGTCCATTCGGGCCAGAACACATGGGGCACTCCGCGGCCCTCAAAATCAACCCAGCCCATCATTATCCACACAACCATCACCACCACAATCATCATATGGCAGGCCACAGTGAAGTGGTCTCCAGTCAAACGGGAGCTTTTGGCCCGGTGCATGCAGCGACCGTCCCCTATTCTATGTCCCACACGGCCCAGGCGTTTTCCGCAGCCGCAGGTAGGGATTTCCTCATTCGGAGAGATCTGACCGCTCAAGCCATGCCGGTGCTCACCGACCAGAGCCCCGGTTCAAGCTCTCATCACGGAATGTTTGTCTCAACAACAGGTAGCTATCCGGGACACTACGGCCATCACCCGGATGCAGGGAGCCATGCCCTCTTCTCCGGACTCCACCATGAGCAGTCATCTAGCGGAGCACCAGGTGGCCAAGCCATGAATGGACAAATAAGGTTAGGAATACCTGGCGAAATGTACGTTAGGTCTGATCACTTGAGTCAAGTGGCGAGCTCCAGGGCTGATCCGTTCTCCGCCTCGACGTTACATGGCTACGGCGGTCTGAACCATCTGAACATGAACCTCAGCGCCCAGCATCACGGAGCCGGTGCATTCTTCCGCTACATGAGGCAGCCGATTAAGCAAGAACTCATCTGCAAGTGGCACGAACCGGAACACTCACCGAAAAAACTCTGCTCCAAAACGTACAGCACGATGCACGAGCTGGTAACGCATGTGACGGTTGATCACGTCGGTGGCCCTGAGATGGCTAACCATATCTGCTTCTGGGAAGAGTGTCCCAGAGAAGGAAAACCATTTAAAGCCAAGTACAAACTTGTAAATCATATCAGAGTACACACCGGAGAGAAACCATTTCCATGTCCCTTCCCCGGCTGTGGAAAAGTATTTGCCCGATCGGAGAACCTGAAGATCCACAAGAGGACTCACACAGGTCAGTTACTTTATTTACGTTTCAGAGTCACCGGTAAAGAATGTATCCTCAAACGTTTGTAGAGGTTATGATTTGAATTTTCTGCTATCATTCATGTTTGAACTCCATTCCACACTAGAGCTAAGTTCACACATCTATTCGATATTGCATTTAAATTAAATGTAATTTTTTAAGTTATGCTGTACACGACATAAAATAAAGGGAAACAAATATTATTTGTAATTTCATTTAACCATTGGCCAAATTCAACAAGTGATTAATTAAAGCATTATTTATTTGATAATCGATATATTATATATTTATATAATCAAATAAATAATGCTATATATATATATATATATATATATATATATATATACATATATATATATATATATATATATATGTTTATAAATGTAATATCTGGAATATGGCATTTCAAATAAACAATATTTATAAAATTGAGTCTAATGTAAACATTACGCAATAGTTAGTGGGTTGGACGATTTACATTTCCGATGTGTTTGTTGTGAGTTGCTCCAGTGGTCCAGAGTTGTACAGAGATAATACTCAGAAAAGAGACTGAGGCCTACACGGTCTGTCTGTCCAAATGTTGCTTTGCCTGCTGCGGGGACACGGAATCAAACACGTCAGATAGAAAGCTGTTGTTTACTTTTCTGAAATCTGACATAGCAACAGTATTAGCTATTTAGTGGAGTGGAAATGCATTGTTGTTTGGACCTGTTGCTGGAGCCACTTTATGTACCTCTGCCATGCATAACCCTTTGGACGCGTCTTTTACATATACATACTGTACTTTGATTTGGTCAAGGAGACTGTTGAGATTTGTTGGTAGCCTGGAACTGAATATTCACCTATAACAATAACACAAATAATACTTATTTTTGAGGAATCATGACTCATGGCTAAGAAAACATAGCTACGTACAGTAAGTAGGTCAATGTCAGAATTTCCATGTGGCCATCTTCTTCTTCTTCTTCTTCTTCTTCTTCTTCTTCTTCTTCTTTCTTCTTCTTCTTCTTCTTCTTCTTCTTCTTCTTCTTCTTAAATATGTGATTAATAATGAGTTAATGTTATTAATTCTATTCATATATATATATATATATATATAGAGATATATATTATATATATATATATCTATATTATATTATGTATTATATATATATAATATATATATATATATATACAGTATATACATAGTAGTAGTAGTAATAGTAGTAGGTGTAGCAATAGTATTAGTAGTAGTAGTAGTAGTAGTAGTAGCAATAGTAGTATTAGTATTAGTAGCAGCAGTAGTAGTAGTAGTAGTAGTAGTAGTAGTAGTAGCAGTAATAGTAATAGTATTATTATTATTATTAGTAGTAGTAGTAGTAGTAGTAATAGTAGTAGTAGTAGTAGTAGTAGTGGTAGTAGTAGTAGTAGTAGTAGTAGTAGTAGTAGTAGCAGTAATAGTAATAGTATTATTATTATTATTATTATTATTATTATTATTAGTAGTAGTAGTAGTAGTAGTAGTAGTAGTAGTAGTAGTAGTAGTAGTAGTAGTAGCAGTAATAGTAATAGTATTATTATTATTATTATTATTATTATTATTATTATTATTATTATTATTAGTAGTAGTAGTAGTAGTAGTAGCAGTAGCAGCAGCAGTAATAGTAATAGTAGCAGTAATATTAGTAGTAGTAGTAGTAATTAGTAGTAGTAGTAACAGTAGTAGTAGCAGTAGTAGTAGTAGTAGTAGTACTTGTAGTAGTAGTAATAGTAGTAGTAGTAGTAGTAGTAGTGGTAGTGGTAGTGGTAGTGGTAGTGGTAGTGGTAGTGGTAGTGGTAGTGGTAGTGGTAGTAGTAGTAGTATTAGCCTAGTAGTAGTAGTAGTAGTAGTAGTAGTAGTAGTAGTAGTAGTAGCAATAGTAGTAGTAGTAGTAGTAGTAGTAGTAGTAGTAGTAGTAGTAGTAGTAGTAGTAGTAGTAGTAGTAATAGTAGTATTAGTAGTAAGAGTAGTAGTAGCAGTAGTAGTAGTAGTAGTAGTACTTGTAGTAGTAGTAATAGTAGTAGTAGTAGTAGTAGTAGTAGTAGTAGTAGTAGTGGTAGTGGTAGTGGTAGTGGTAGTGGTAGTGGTAGTAGTAGTAGTATTAGCCTAGTAGTAGTAGTAGTAGTAGTAGTAGTAGTAGTAGTAGTAGCAATAGTAGTAGTAGTAGTAGTAGTAGTAGTAGTAGTAGTAGTAGTAGTAGTAGTAGTAGTAGTAGTAATAGTAGTATTAGTAGTAGTAGTAGTAGTAGTAGTAGTAGTAGTAGCAGTAGTAACAGTAGTAGTAGTAGTAGTAGTAGTAGTTGCAGTAGTAGTAGTAGCAGTAGTAGTAGTAACAGTAGTAACAGTAGTAGTAGTAGTAGTAGTAGTAGTAGTAGAAGTAGTAGTAGTAACATTATAGTAGTAGTAGTAGTAGTAGTAGTAATAGTAGCAGTAGTAGTAGTAGTAGTAATAGTAGTATTAGTATTAGTATTAGTATTAGTATTAGTAGTAGTATTATTATTATTATTATTATTATTAGTAGTAGTAGTAGTAATATTAGTAGTAGTAGTAGTAGTAATAGTAGTAGTAGTAGTAGTAGTAGTAGTATTGTAGTAGTAGTAGTATTAGTAGTATTAGTAGTATTATTATTAGTAGTAGTAGTAATAGTAGTAGTAGTAGTAGTAGTAGTAGTAGTAGTAGTAGTACTAGTAGTAGTAGTACTAGTAGTAGTATTATTATTATAATTATTATTATTATAATTATTATTAGTAGTAGTAGTAGTATTATTATTATTATTAGTAGTAGTACTAGTAGTAGTATTATTATTAGTAGTATAGCATTTTTTAAATGGCAAAATATAAGATCATGGTAAATGACAAAGTAATATTTTAATTTGATTAACATGTTTTCCATATTCATTGGAAACTGTGCTGCTTGTCCTTAGTCAATGGAAGCAGTAATATTGCTTAGGGCAGGGTTGTAGTATTGCTAAGTGAAGGGTTAGGGTTAGCAGCAGGCTACAATTTGGGGGGGGGGGCTATAACAGCGTAACAGGTAGGGTGAGCTGGAGCACTGACCTACTGTCTACTCCATTACCTGCTGGACATGTGTAATGGAGCTTACTGATCTAATTTCATTTTACTACAGATAATGATATGAAGAGAGTCATTTTCCTTTGGCAAAAGTGAAGTTTCGACCCAAATAAAAATACTTCCTTAGGGCCTTTGAAAATGATGAGTCAGAACAGCACCTAATATGACTCTGATTACTATATGTTGAATCCATACATATATTTTGAATCCATTCATGCCTCCACATGTATTATTCATATAATTTGCTCACATTTACTTAATTACAAATCTGTTAAATTATTTGTGCGTATGTTGACTCCCAAGGGCCCTGGTCCAGGGTATCATGTTTGAAACCTACCGGGATCTGTGGTTATGGCTGGGTTTCCCCTGAGGGGTGTTATGAGACCTGTTCTTCTACCGGGATCTGTGGTTGTGGCTGGGTTTCCCCTGGGGGGTGTTCTGAGACCTGTTCTTCTACCGGGATCTGTGGTTATGGCTGGGTTTCCCCTGGGGGGGTGTTCTGAGACCTGTTCTTCTACCAGGATCTGTGGTTATGGCTGGGTTTCCCCTGGGGGGGGTGTTCTGAGACCTGTTCTTCTACCGGGATCTGTGGTTATGGCTGGGTTTCCCCTGAGGGGTGTGTTATGAGACCTATTCTTGTACTACACTAATATCACTGATTGCCTCTCAGTCGAAGGTCAAATTGATATTCAACGTGCACGTGTAATTAGACTGGAGCAATTATATATTCTCTGTAGCTAAGCTTATAGCTGCCTGACTGCATGGCCTCGCATTAGAGGAATCAGCATAGGATGATGTCATAGTAATTAATTCAACCATTATGTTTTTGCCAGATCATGCTGTATTTCCTAAGGGCTAGATATTACAGGCTAATCAAGACAAATGTTGTTTTATTTACATTCATTTGCCCCATTAGGTGCATGGTTCAAATAGCCAATGTAGAAATAGTAGGCTAAATGGCAAGAAAGCCATAACTACTTGTGTAGCCATAACTGAGTTTGTTTCATAGGGACATAGACATTCCATATGCAACCAATTCAAATCCTGCAGATGATCATCAATAAAAACATGTTTTCAATGTTACTTGGAACTACTGCAGAAACAGTAATATGCTGTCCTAAAGGAACTCAGCTGGTTCATTGGGCTGTCCTAAAGGAACTCAGCTGGTTCATTGGGCTGTCCTAAAGGAACTTAGCTGGTTCATTGGGCTGTCCTAAAGGAACTTAGCTGGTTCATTGGGCTGTCCTAAAGGAACTCAGCTGGTTCATTGGGCTGTCCTAAAGGAACAGCTGGTTCGTTGGGCTGTCCTAAAGGAACTCAGCTGGTTCATTGGGCTGTCCTAAAGGAACTCAGCTGGTTCATTGGGCTGTCCTAAAGGAACTCAGCTGGTTCATTGGGCTGTCCTAAAGGAACTCAGCTGGTTCATTGGGCTGTCCTAAAGGAACAGCTGGTTCGTTGGGCTGTCCTAAAGGAACTTAGCTGGTTCATTGGGCTGTCCTAAAGGAACTCAGCTGGTTCATTGGGCTGTCCTAAAGGAACAGCTGGTTCGTTGGGCTGTCCTAAAGGAACTCAGCTGGTTCATTGGGCTGTCCTAAAGGAACAGCTGGTTCGTTGGGCTGTCCTAAAGGAACAGCTGGTTCGTTGGGCTGTCCTAAAGGAACTCAGCTGGTTCGTTGGGTCAAGTACAATAGGCAATCCACTGTAGGCCAATATGGTGTTATTGGCCATAACTCACGTCACATGTGGCCATGCGTCACCACCCCCAAAATAAAGCAGCTGTTTTGATTTGTGCTTTTGGGTTTCCTGAAGCCAACGCCTAACTTTTGTTCACTTATTTCAGGTGAGAAACCGTTCAAATGTGAGTTTAACGGCTGCGACCGACGTTTCGCCAACAGCAGTGACCGGAAGAAGCACTCCCACGTGCACACCAGCGATAAGCCGTACAACTGCAAAGTGAGAGGCTGTGACAAATCCTACACACACCCCAGCTCGCTCCGAAAACACATGAAAGTGCACTGCAAGTCTCCACCACCGAGCTCTGGCTACGAGTCTTCAACCCCGTCATTGGTGTCCCCATCATCGGACTTAGGCCGAGAGCCAGGGGCCTCGTCGCTCTCAGAACCAGCAGCCTCGTCCCAACCCGCCAATTTAAGCGAGTGGTACGTCTGTCATAGTTCTGGTGCCAGCGGAACTCAGACACCTCCCAGCGGCTCCTCCAGCCCTGATCCCGGGGATGAGACGCACTACAGACACCCTAACCAAAACTGGCCCAGAAAATAATTCTAAAACATATGAAAGATATATTTTCTAATATGCCCATGGACTTACAAAATTAACACATCGAAAAGGTCTGTTTTCTATGGCCCAAATCATCCCATGCACTGTCTGGCGTATCGGCCAAATAAGACACTGCCAAATATAGCTTGTGATAGCGCGCTTCTATCTCCATGTGTTTGGACTTCTTATTTCTTCTCGTACCAGGTCATTGTACGCATGTATCTTGCTGTATTATTTTGTAATCGAGTTTTGACACTCAATATATTTTTTATTTATTTATTTTTTGAATCTGACATGAACATTTTTTTTTGTATTATCGAACCAAAGTGTTTCAATATAAACAAATGAAATGTACATTTGTAAATTGATACGTTTCAATGTGTAAGTGTTAACAGTAATTTTGTAAGCTTTGGTATTTCAGCTATTTTTTTTTTTTGCTACACTTATTTGTATAAATTAAATAATTGAAAAGTTTGGAGTTTCATACAAGACATATTGTCTCCATTTGCGATTGTCTATTCTATTGATTGAAGCGTTTTCCGATAGTCTATTTGATATTATTACATTACATTCATAAATGTTTGGTCAACGTGGGCATTTTGTGATTTTGTAATTCTTGTCAATATTTGTTAGTAATGGATTTTTATGAAAATGTGATCCTATCGAGAAAAGACACTCGAAATGTGTAACCAACTGCCTTGTAATTTGTCAGTATTTTGAATAAATCGTGTATGATAAAAATGCAATTTTCCTTTTCTGGGCCTTGACATTTTAAAATTGATATAGACATAAAATAACGAATTTATTTGAATGCATATACTATCAGGGTACTGTTAACCAATATATGACAGGGTGCTCTAAAACGCCTTGAACCTCACATGCTGTACTCATGTCTAATAAGGCAGCAGAGCAGAACAACACCAGTCTTTTTTTTAAAGGAGCGGTGAGACCAAACACAGAGAGCATTTTCTATCACTATATTCAACAGCGAGTCTTACTGCCATTTGTGTCTTATTTAATCTCAGGTACCGTCTATAACAGAGCCCTAAGGATCGAAAACATGTTGTACCCATATTGGACAACAGGCTCTTTAGATTTTCGCTTCGTTTTAACTATGTTCATGTTTTTATTTTTGCTGTATTGTTGTACTGCTATAGCCTGTTGTCAACGTGCAGCCGTAAAAACCATAAAGCCACTTTGAAAAGAAGCCATTCTCCTCGGTGTTGTATTTAGCATTAGCTTACCCTAAACTTACTTCACCCCTGAACACTGGAAAATCACAAAGCAATTCTTTAAAAGAAAATCCAGATTTAATTTTTTAGAAAATATTCTTCACTAGTCATGTCCATGTCTTATTTGTGCGGGCTCTATTTCTCTCTTAGATAAAGTGTGATTTTATGCAGAGGAGATGCGGGCAGCGTTTGATGAAAGGCTAGTATATTCTCATCCAGACTTCAAAGATCTTTTAACACAAAGAGCCATTTCTTCATGACGGTGAGTCCTCACGGTGAATTAAGATTTCTATAGCAATAGCCGAGTCAAAGTCGAATAATATGGGGCCAAGTCCGAGGACTTCAACGCCTCTTCAAAAGAACGTAATATTTGCTACCCATGGGGTAGGAAACGGTAATCAATGTTCTTTCTATCCAATATAAAGAGAAAATGTTCTTTTGCTATATTTTTACAACTATCAAAAGAGAAGCCGATAGAACTACGCACGTATTCTCACAATAATAGACGTGCATTGCAAAGCTGCTTGGATGCGTCCTGTGAACTAAAGACTGCGCTTACTGTGGGTTCTGTGAACTGAAGACTGGACTTACTGTGGGTTTTGCTTTCTTTAAGAAGAACAGGGTATAGCTACGTGTTTGGGGTTAAGGGGGAATGGGCACGACCATGCAAACAGTGTTTTTAGAGATATCTCCAAGGAGGTGAAGTTTCCTATGTGACTGAGCTAATTGTAGTGCACATGGGCGTTTAGGCTAGCTAAAATGTAATATTAATACGAAAATGTATCAAATTCCTCTGATAAAGAAATATACAATAATAGCCTATCAACAGGTTTTTTTTTAATCTTCATTTATTCCATCATTTCAAACAAACACAGGGAAAAGTTATGCACTAATTAAGACATACACAAAAATGCTTTTTACGAGGATCTGAGGCATATTTTGTCGTAAAGAGGCTGAGAGTTTGTGGAACCCGCTGCAGAACATTCTGAGGCAGGAGCAAGGCGGGAGTCCCCACTGTCTGATACCTTCAGAGTTTGTTCCTTTGGCGCTTGTGTTGCCGTCTACTCTGTCCAAGTGCCCCACGGAAAAGAATGAATAATAAGCACTACAACAAATAATCAAACAGTTGATCCCTCTCCTCAGCACCAGCTCTTGTGCCTGAATGGGGTAAAATAAAGTTCGGTCTCAATTGTAGCCAAGATTCTTTGAAGCGGGACATAATATCCGAGGGATTCTTCCATCTCGTCTAAACGACGCTGATGACACGGAAATACTTCTTTGTCACCGATGTGTTCGACCCATCTCTGTTGGACCGTTCAAAGCTTTTAGTTCAAGCCATCCAAGGGGAGACAAGGACTGACGACAGAACGGTATAAATAATAATAATAATAATAATAATAATAATAATAATGTATAAATCATCATTAAACTTATACACTGTAAAAACAAATACACACCCACAAATCTAGTTGTTTCAAGTAATTATTATTAATAAGGATGGGACGCTTTTTTTCAATTTTCGCCTAAAATGACATACCCAAATCTAACTGCCTGTAGATCAGGACGTGAAGCAAGGATATGCATATTCTTGGTACCATTTGAAAGGAAACGCTTTGAAGTTTGTGGAAATGTGAAATGAATGTAGGAGAATATAACACATTAGATCTGGTAAAAGATAATACAAACAAAAAAACATTTTTATTTTTTTTGTTCCATCATCTTTGAAATGCAAGAGAAAGGCCACAATATAATATTGCAGTTTAGGAGCAATTTAGATTTTGCCCAGTAAATGGCAGCAGTGTGTGTGCAAAGTTTCAGATTGATCCTGTGAAGAGTTGTAATAGTGGACTATTTTCTATCAAGTCTGCCCAAATGTGCCAAATGCATCAATTGATACATTTTCAAGTACACAACTATAGAGAACATCCAAAAATGATATGGTAATACAAAATGTAAGTTTGCACACTCCCAGGAATATCAAACATGATGGATCATTATCTTATACACTAATTTTCACACATGTAGATGGCCGGGCGGGGTGGGTGTGGAGCCAGAGACAGCAGGGGTTCAAACTGTAGATCCCAGTTCCCACATTTGAATATAACAATTTATTTTATCAAACAAAACTATGCTACATTTTATCTCTGGCACCCTTAGGATCCTTAGAATGTAAGTACATTATTTACCTTCAGAGGTGAATGTATCAAACCAGTTGCCGTGATACGTTTTTGTTGTTGTTGTGCACTCTCCTCAAACAATAGCATGGTCTTTTTTCACTGTAATAGCTACTGTAAATTGGACAGTGCAGTTAGATTAACAGGAATGTAAGCTTTCTGCCCATATAAAACATGTCTATGTCCTGGAAAAGTTTGCTGTTAATTACAACAGTCATGCTAATCATATTAGCGCACGTTAGCTATAAGGGACACCGATCCTGTAGAGGTTAAGTAACTGATTCCAAAACCCTTTTTTTTTGTGTACTGAACTTCACGATGACATTTATATAGTCATTATTATTGAACATGACTTCACCTGGGATTTGATCTCACAACCTCTTGGTTCATGGCATTCCTATATTCCAGCTACACCTCCATGACTGTGTCAGTTATCAGTTAATCTGACTATTCTCTCATCTTTGATTGACTAATTTAAGCAATTTGAGGTTTTTCTGTATAGTTGTGTAATATTGGGGCATATTAATCTAGTGTACTGTTACTCTTAATCACTATAATATATCAAATAGTTGTTCTTGAGTGTACAGAGCTGAGATTTACTTTGAAGTGCAACGTGTATCAATACAGGTGTAATCAAGCATTGACACAGACATGGTGAAGTAACAGGAAGATCGGAATGCTGTGAACCAAGAGGTTGTGAGTTCAAATCCCAGGTAAGATCATGTTGAATATTCATGACTGAATAAATGAACATGCACAACGTGATCAGATGTGTAAGTTAAATGCATACTTGATGCCCAAATAATAATTCATAGTTAAATGAACATATGAGACAAGTTGAGAAAACACATCATTTTAAGTTGACTGAAATTTGCCTACATGTTCTCATATTGGAGCTAAGTTTGGGCCAACTAAAAATATTAAGTTCAGGTAACACTTTGAACTAAAATTGAATAAAAATAAAAAAAAAGGCTGTGAAACCAGTTACATAATAATATTTAGTTGAAACAACTACATTTTTTTTACAATGGGTGAGACTACACAGTTTCTGCACTGCATAAAAAACAACATTGACCGTGTATGTTTTCAGTGTGTGTATGCACTTACAAGTCTGTGTGTGTGTGTAGAGAGAGAGAGAGAGAGAGAGAGAGAGAGAGAGGGGGGGGGGGGGGGGGGGGAGAGGGAGAGAGAGAGAGAGAGAGAATGCGAGAAAGAGAGAGAGAGAGAGAGAGAGAGAGAGCGAGAGAGAGAGAGAGAGAAAGCGAGAGAGAGATAACTATAATGCATGGTAGAATTGAAATAAAAAAATATACGAATTTCTGCCATCTTTGTGGCCCTGTGTCCTGGACATGCACTTACATGGCTGTTATTACAGTTGACTAGAGAAGCCCTGAGCATGAGCAACAGTTACAACCATAGGTCACATTGATCACCCCCACTGCCATAACTCTGGACTTGTAAAATCTATAATAATGTATCTATAGTCTATAGTACGCAACATATACTGAACTACCTTCAGTCCCTTTACAGCTTGATGACGAGTCACAGTAGTTAATAGTCAACATAAAGTTACATCCCAAATGGCACCTTATTGCATACAAAGTGCACTACTTTAGACCAGAGCCCCGTGATGGGGGAAGGCTGGTTGGGCATCGTGATGGGGAAGGCTGGTTGGGCATCGTGATGGGGGAAGGCTGGTTGGGCATCGTGATGGGGGAAGGCTGGTTGGGCATCGTGATGGGGGAAGGCTGGTTGGGCATCGTGATGGGGAACGCTGGTTGGGCATCGTGATGGGGGAAGGCTGGTTGGGCATCGTGATGGGGGAAGGCTGGTTGGGCATCGTGATGGGGAAGGCTGGTTGGGCATCGTGAAGGGGAAGGCTGGTTGGGAATCGTGAAGGGGAAGGCTGGTTG